TGTGTGTGTTGTTTTTTTGTCCTCAGCAACTCCTAAAGTGTTCCACAGGTCATAAATTCTTCCAGATTCTCCAATAAGGCTTCCGAGAGACGTAGTGGCAGCAATATCAGAAGGTAGAAAAGGGGACTTTGCCTCAGGATCAAGCCAAACTCGCCGCACTCTCAAGCACCGAGGTCACACTTCTAATGATTTTTAGACACCGGGAAAGCACCATTGGACCACGCAAGTAAGTTAATTGACGTTCATAACAGTCTCTGTATGAGGTTAAAAAGGATGCGTGAACAATGCCGGGCACGTTAAAACACACATGCATGATATCTTTCATATCACAAAAACCATCTTTGTCATTCCATGACTATACACAAATGGTGGAGTGAGTCGTGGCGGAAGATAATGCTCACAGGCATATATTGTACGTTCTTTGCAAAGAACACCGAAAGCATGACTGCGACTTAGTGAGTAGTTGTGACCGTCTCCATGAAAAGCTACTGTATAGGTCTGGATCGTCCTGTCCCGGAAGGAGAATTGGAATGAAGCACAAAAGTTTTGATTTTTAATCCATATAATCATTATTGGGGGATTGTAATTTGGCTTTTCAGATTGTTGTCATGATTAGTTTCTTTGGATCCTCGTGCCACATTCGTTCTAGTTAGTTATTAGCAGAAAAGTAAAATACTAATGTCAAGCAATAACTTTTATTGTCTCGATCTTTTCGTTGATTGTCTCCCATTTTCCACTTGTATGGTATGACAGTTGCATGACTGACCTACTCAAGATATGTTGGGAACAGTTATATCATGAAAAGGTGTCAAGTTAGAGCACATCATAAATTCGGGCTTATCAGTGATGTGGTCCCGGGTGACACAATTGGACCATGGAAAAAAAAAATGTGAATGACTACACAGTTTTAGGAATGTTTCGATCAGTTCTCGGCACGTAGCACTCAAACGTCTCATGGCTTATCTGAGCAGCTGTCAAGATTACTGATTTTAATGGACTGCAGGAAAGTGATGGAAATATCCCGACTTCTGTGTCCTGGAACATTTTATGTTTGTGATGATACGTAGTGTACGTGGTTAAAGTTCAACCTTTGATGTAGCATTTCGAGATGGAAGCCGTTTCGGGATAATAATTGACATCAATAAAAAAATAAATAAATAAAAAAAAACCAACAACTAAAAAAAACATTAATAACAGTAATTGTTGACTGATGTGCCCTTGAGCAAGGCACTGACCCCCAAGCCAATCCATGTGCCGCCCCATCACTGTCATTTAACCTTAAAGTAGTCAAGTGTGGTACACAAGGAATTGTTCAATTGAATGTTGAAAATGTGCATAATGTTAAAGTTGTGTGACAGTAATGTTGATTGTGAAGGCCTTGGGCAAATTAGATTGACACGGCAACAGAGGCTGAAATCTGATTGGACCAAAAAAAAATGTAACAGCCACATAAGGCAGTACATCTGTTGTTCGAATAGACTGAAATGTGGGCACTCCACAGTGTTGTGTACATTTATGTTATACTGTATGTTCGACCTCACTTCTTGTTGTTTCTCCAAATGTTTCTGTATTTTTTAATGTCATACATTTGAATTTTACCTGACATGAATTGTTTGCTGCCAATGCACTGCAATTGTTTCATATTTTTCTCTGAAGAAATAATGGAAAAGGGGTTCCAGGCAATGAACTTTTCCATCATCAAAATAGGAACAGGTAGTGTTTTTTTGTTACATTTGAACACTGATCATTGTCATGTGCAGCAAGTGCATAAAAAAAAAAAAAAAAAAAAAAAAAAAGAACTGTTAAAGTGCGGCATGTTTTGATGAGTCCCAGTATGACTTTGTTTTTACAGTTATATTGTCATCATTGGCAATGGAGATATCGTTGCACTTGTATGCTGTATTCATTTTATTTAAAACACGAAAAGAAATATGTTTTAATGCTCTTGGATGACATAAGATGCATATCTTGAACATTCAGGTGAAAAAAAATATTTGCGTTCTGACAGTCCACTTTATTTTAAATTTACATTGAGTAGCCATCGATGCTTTGCAGTGCTTTGCAAGAATAGCGATGTAAGTTCTAGTCAATAATCAACTAATGAGAAAGGTTGTCATTGTTCTTAAGGTCAGTTCTTGAGTCTCGCCAGAGGCACAGTTGCTCTCTTGAACATGAAAGGTTCACTTTTGTGCGGTGTCAGAAACACTGGCCTGTACATTGGCAACCTAAATTGAATTTGGTCAATGACATTTTATTCATCGATTCCCCACAGTCTATTGTCTTCTTTTCTCATAGTTAAATTGCTTCCAGTACATGTGAATGTTAAGATTGTTTTGACCAGTCAGACTTCAGCCTCATTGTGTTGCCGTTGTCAGTCATGTGAAGTGCTGGACCCCCGAAACAAACTCGATTTGATGTTTGTCATTTGATGTTTCCTGAACCATTCCTGTTTCAAATTCATAAATTCATCGTCACGGGACCAGACCACTCATCATTGATGACGTCATCGTACTTCTGTCTGCTTTGGTTGGTCAGAGCAAAACTTATTCCACCTGATTTTGACTAGAAAAACTATTTTGTGGGTCATTTTACTGTAGAATATGTGTGTGTGTGTGTGTGTGTGTGTGTGTGTGTGTGTGTGTGTGTGTATATATATATATATATATATATATATATATATTTTTTTTTTTTCTTTTTTCTTTCTAAACTGCTCTAGATGATGTTCATGCCATGCATATCACGTTTTTGTACGGTAGTTTGGATGTTTTCTTTATATAAATAAAGAAAGAAACATTAATTGACACCCAGATATGCCACAAGGTGGTGACAATATACACCTTTTGTCGAAGACACGCTTCTCAACACCCAACTTGGGATCAAAGTGTCACCAATGAGAACTGCTTTAGGCTGAGCATAAAAAAGTCAGTGGGGGAGCTTTTCACCCGATAGTTGGAGGATAGGTTGAACAACTGCAATAACAATAAAATTACCAATAAGTGAATTTGCAAATGATAAATTGCGAACATGCAGGGTTCATTTTACCGCAACAGCGAAATCCCCAAAGAAGGCTGAACTACATGACCCGCCAATGCTTTCATGTAAAACTGGTCTCATCTTCACTCTCCTCCACTCAAACTCTCACGTTCTACTCTATGTGTGGGTCTTCGTAGGGCACTGAACGGTGGTCACCATGAGCACCGAGAGGCCTGACGAGGTGATCGTCGACACTTCCTTTACCACCATTCACACCGTGGGCAGCGGGCACGACGAGGGCCGGCAGCTTTGCTTCATGCATAAGGACGGCAGGTTCCACGTGGTGTTCCACAGGGTCCCCAGGGAGTGGAGTCCATACCTGCTGGACATATTCACCACTCTGGTGGAGATCCGCTGGAGGGTGATGCTCCTGGTCTTCTCACTGTCCTACATCATCTCCTGGCTGTTCTTCGGTCTTTGCTACTGGCTGATCGCGTATGTGCACGGAGACGGAGATGTGGACAGTCCCTGCGTGTTAAACGTCTACGACTTCACTTCGGCGTTTCTCTTCTCGATGGAGACGCAGGCAACCATTGGTTATGGCTTCAGGGGGATGACGGAAAACTGCATGGTAGCTGTGGTGGTGGTGACGATTCAGGACGTCATTAGCTGCCTCCTGGACACCATTGTCATCGGTATCGTTATCGCCAAGATGGCGTCGGCGCGGAAGAGGGCTCAGACGGTGGGCTTCAGCAGATACGCAGTCGTCAACCAGCGGGATGGCGTCCTGTGTCTGTCATGGCGGCTAGGAGACTTCAGAGGGAATCATATCTTAGAGGGCGTTGCCAGGGCGCAGCTTATACGCCACTCCAAACAATCTGACAAACCCGTGGTGATTTCATACCAGGATCTGGACATCCAGGAGCGGGAGCTTGCCCTCGCTACGCCAGCCATAGTCGTACATAAGCTCGACCCAGGGAGCCCACTCTACAATATAGGCCCTGACGAGCTTCTGGTGGAGGACTTTGAGCTTGTGGTGTCTTTCACCTACACGGGCGACTCCACCGGTATGCTCCACCAGACGCGCACCACCTATACGCCTGCGGATATCCGCTGGGCGCAGCAGTTCCAGGAGGTGCTCAAAGTGGGCAAGAAGCATTACAAGGTGGACTATGCTCTATTTAACGAGACCACGTGGGTGGCCACCCCCATGCTGTGTGCCGAGCAATTTGACCGGGGAAAGACTCGACCTGGCCTTTTGGTGAAGAGAGGACGCCGCTGTATGGAGGAGGTCACGCAGCAAACCCATTTGTAGATGGAGCTTCACATTTGTTAATATATTTAACATGCCTTTTTAGTTTATTCTATTTTGTTGTGCACAGGATGTTCATAATAAAATGTCCAAATGCAAGTCTTATTTGTTTCTTTTCCATTGATGAGACGATTGAAGTGGTCAGTTTTGAACGCAAAACAACGGAAACCGCGGTATTAGGTCAAACACTGCCATCTTGTGGACATAGACAGCACCCACTTTTACACCGGTCATTATTTTTATATGATAATAAAATCGTAATACTGTACATTTTTTGAAAGACATCAAATGAGAAATATTTTTAAATGCACTAAAAAATCACTGATTTATAATAGTCGAAAAACACAATGAGTAGTTACAATACATATACTTCTACATATCATGATGATTGTCCAACAAGCTGTAACAATGATAAAACATGTTGCAAATAAAATATTGCTACTCCTACAACTGTAATGATTCTATTCAACGAAACGTAAATACTACTACGAACATGCACAGCTAAAAATTAACCAAGACATTCACATCAATCAAAAAAAAAAAAAAGCTAAAATAATGCATCCATCCATCCATCCATCCTCCGATCCGCTTTATCCTCACACGGGTCACGAGGGGTGCTGGAGCCTATCCCAGCCGTCTTCGGGCAGTAGGCGGGGGACACCCTGAACTGGTTGCCAGCCAATCGCAGGACACACAGAAACAAACAACCATCCCCGCTGAACCCTGTACCTCTGCGCTGAGGTCGACACGCTAACCGGCCACACACACATACACACACACACACATATATATATATATATGAATGTACTGTATGTATAGAAAGCACTCACAACCCAACCCAATCATGCTTTAGTTCCCTGAGCATTGAACAGTCGCTCCGACTTCCTATTGGCCAGCAGTGCGAGAGAGGCGTGGCCAGACTGGGACGTTGTCTATGTGCGTGCGCGTTTTAATCAGCTTCGCTCTTTGAGAGAACCACAAAAGAGCCTCTTGCTCTCGACGGTTATGGCACAATTTGGTGCACCGGACCGCAGCGTCGGTGAGGGTGATAACTGCAACCGTGGACCAGCCAGAACGAAACGGAGCGAGTTGACGCGTGTTGCATTTATGGGACATAAAAAAAATCAGGAAGCAGCACTTCTTGGCAAGGGCCAGCAGGTGAGCACGTTCTACTTGTAAGAATAATCTATCATGATGAGTGTTTCATTAGTAAGAGAAGTAGTAGTGGTGGTTGTAAAACATGTATCTATAATGTAATAATAATAATAATCATCATCATCATGAAAATCCGAATCATACATTGCATCTACATGGTAATCGTCATTAAAAATAGTGAAACACTGCAAAAGGTTAAACAGCTATGATAATTATATGTTTATTTTTTTGTGTTAGTGTTACACTTCAACGAATCATTATTGATTTGTGTAATCCCCCCAGCCCCAAAAATTGCCGCTTTTCTTGAAGCAGTTTCCATCAAGCAGCCTCAGCTGTTGACTGTTTTGTCACTGCAGCAAAGGTGATGGAATAGGTAAAGCACATTTCAGACAGAAACTTTCACTAACTTGTATCCATCCAATTTCATGTGACTTTGTTCCAACAATGCATTGTTTGTCTTTGAATGCATGGATGAATACAACCTCTTTGTGACTTTTCTATACAAAAGTCCACACTTTCGGCTCCACGGACATGAGTTCAATCGACTGTTGCAATTGCATTTAAAAACACAATGTTAATGTTGTGAAACAACTCAAGGTGTGCGTGTGTGCGCTCTGTCTCGTCTTGACGTAGTTAGGTGAGGAAAACAAAGATGATGCTGAGGGATTTGGGAGCAGGCCGTGCATATTTTATCCCCAATGACTTTTCCTGACTTTCAGGGGACCGATTCAAGCATCAAGTTAATGAATCGACCTTCGTGCTTTCACAATTATAATTAAACCTCACCGATGGGCTTTCGTCACAGTGAGTTGCTGGCTGTGGCCTGGTTGCAGGCAATGGATGTGAAATTCTAATAGAACGTCAAGGCCAGCAACACCAAGTCAATACGTTTTCTAATTTAACCCCCTTTGCCGCTCTGTTACATATTACGCAAGGCTACTGTCGCTCGCAAAAGAGGAACTGATACACCCTCTCTAAATAGCTGCGAGGATCATTTAGGCATTTGTTATCATACCCCCGGTCCAGTAAAGACAGCAAAACTTACACTTGTTAGTTTCTTAAATTTTTCTTGCATGTAAAATGAAATGAGGGCAATCAGATGTGGGTTTCAGCGTTGCTCGCTGGATAAACATGAACAGATCTCAGCAGACGAGATCGAGCAAATTGATAATCACATGAAGCAAGATGACCATCTTTACACCACAAAAACTGGTCTAAAAAAAAAACTAAAGTAAAAAGTAAAGAAATGAATATTATTTCATTTAAGCTAAATCATCTGCTATTACATTAGGAAATTTGACTTGACAAGATTTCTTTCAGCGAGTAAACAAAGGCCCCACTAATCCTACCAGCTTTTGGAATTTCTTATTTCAGAGTCCCTGAAAAGTGCAAATGAAAACATTTAAATGTGATGCGCCCGCAGAGAAGAATGTTGTTAGATATCCTGCCAAATTTCAATGATTTAAAAAAGGATCGTATTACAAATGAGACTTCAAAATAATAATACTAATAATAATAATAATAATAATAATAATGAGTGACCCCACAGCCCGCTAAAACAATTCTGAGACTTCAACCAACAAAGTCCTTATGTGGACACATCCCTTCATGTCTGAGCTGTGAAACAAGGTCCGCCTAATTCAGGGGTGTCCAAACGCGGTCCCCAAGGGCCGCAGTCCTGCCTGTTTGCCGTCTGTACCTCCTGCAACACACCTGATTCAAGTGATGAGGATCGTTCTCATGATTCTTCAGAGCTTGCTGATGAGCTGATCCTTTGAATCAGCAGGATGGCGGACCGCGAGTGCCGGAGCTGGACATCCCTGGAACTCCTCCAGTGGCGACAATACAAAATATATGTCCCCCCTGGGTCGTTGTGCTGTGGGGCATAATAGCTAGCAGCGAGCCTCCGGGGTTCCGCTCAGCTGGTGGACGGACAACAGGCTAATCAACAGCATCACCTCTTGAAATTTAAAATTACGCCCCTGAGCTGTTTTGTCAAATGTGACATCCAGGGAAGATGAATTTTCAGGGTGTTGACATAGCTAGCTGGCTAACTGCAGACATAGTGAAAATGGGTCTAGAAATAATAACTTTCCATTGCGCCACGCAACTATTGATGCGAACGACTGATGAGTTCTTACATGGTGAGAGAAAACTCATGCGGGACGCCAAAGCTGGTCACTGAGCGGCACGTTAAAATTTAAATTGTCTTTCTGAGTGGGGAAAGAAAAATGCTTGAAGCTAGCGAAATTCGCTGATGCAAAGAATGCTAGGTAAGAAGAAATCCCTTGGCCGACAAAGAACAAGTGGTATTCGTTTTAGCAGTGTAATTCTTGGCTCTTTTTTAAAATCTAGTCTCGACAATTTAAGTACAAGAGCTGCTTCTTAGCATCTTGTAGCTCGCGTTGGCAGTGCATTATTTAGGTAGAAGGTAAACACACACCTGCATGCACTTGATCTTAACTTTGGTTCCTGCCAATGATTTTGAAACTGTGCTTCGCCCTCCCTTTCATTTCCACAGCCGACTCCACCGATGAGGCCCCAAAAAACCCTCACAGAGGAGTGACCCCAACCCTGGCAAAAGATCCCCGCCGAGGCCTCCCTTTGCCGTCAGGATCTGCTCCGGCGGGAATTGTTTCTTCCTGACGTGGCCCCGTGATCATTCGAAACTGTTTCTCCAACGCTTGCACCAGAAACTTAGACTGTTTTCCAAAGCAGAGGCGGCCCAGCCCCCCCAGGCAGAAAGGATGGGGAGCGTGCGAAGCCACCGCTACAGCATTGTGTCCTCCGAAGAGGACGGCATGAAGCTGGCCAACATCGCCGTGCCCAACGGCTACGGCAACGGCGACGTCAACAAGGCCGAGCACCAGCGCCAGAGCCGCTTCGTGCGCAAAGACGGCCACTGCAACGTGCACTTTATCAACATGAGCGAGAAGGGCCAGCGCTACCTGGCGGATATCTTCACCACCTGTGTGGACATCCGCTGGCGTTGGATGCTGCTCATCTTCTGCCTTTCCTTCCTGCTCTCGTGGTTATTCTTTGGTCTGGTCTTCTGGCTGGTGGCGCTCTCCTACGGCGACCTGGAGGCAGAGACTCAGATGTGCGTCTCCAACGTGGACAGCTTCACGGCTGCCTTCCTGTTCTCCGTGGAGACCCAGACCACCATCGGCTATGGCTACCGCTACGTGACCGAGGACTGTCCCGTCGCCGTGTTCATGGTGGTCTTCCAAAGCATCGTGGGTTGCATCATCGATGCCTTCATCATCGGCGCAGTCATGGCCAAGATGGCCAAGCCCAAAAAACGGAATGAAACTTTGGTGTTCAGCCACTACGCCACAGTGGCGATGAGGGACGGCAAACTATGCCTCATGTGGCGCGTGGGGAACCTGAGGAAAAGCCACCTCGTGGAGGCTCACGTCAGGGCGCAGCTCCTCAAGTCGCGGACGACGGTGGAAGGTGAGTTCATCCCTCTGGACCAGGTGGACATCGACGTTGGCTTCGACAGCGGCATCGACAGAATCTTCTTGGTGTCTCCTATCACCATCGTCCACGAAATCGATGAGGACAGCCCCTTCTACGAGATGAACAAGCAGAAGCTGGAGATGTCCGAGTTTGAGATCGTGGTGATTTTGGAGGGCATGGTGGAGGCCACGGCCATGACCACTCAGTGCCGCAGCTCCTACGTGGCCAGCGAGATCCTCTGGGGCCACCGCTTCGAGCCGGTGCTCTTCGAAGACAAGAACTTCTACAAAGTGGACTACTCGCGCTTCGACAACACCTACGAGGTGTCCGGCACGCCGCACTGTAGCGCAAGAGAGTTGGCAGAGAAGACATCCAACGCCTGCAGCCCCAGGAACTCTTTTTGTTATGAGAATGAGGTGGCTCTGGTAAAGATCGAGCTGGAGGAGGAATTGGAGGAGGCAGCGGCGGATCACGGCGCGACGAGGAACGCCGAGAATTGCCCGCCCAAAGACGGCAACGCGGGCTCAGACTTTGAACAGAATCTGGACTCTTTGCCTTTCGATTCAAGACCTTTGACTGCTGAATCGGAATTATAACACTGCACTTTAAGATATAATCAGGATGGAGAATGGTTGGAAAGTTTTCACCGTCTCTATGAAGCCCTTCACAACCCCAAAAAATCATGGGAATGCAAAGTTAAGTCTACACTGTAGTGCAATAGTTCAAACCTAGTGTAGCTTTTCCCCCCCTCCTTTCTTTATAGCATTGGTGAGGAGCCTTTTTTCCGATCAGGGACCATCGTCGTTTTTATAAAGTCCCCGGAGGACGACACAATATTTAAGAACATGTTCAACGATAGGATCAAACAAATGTTTATTATTAGAAATCACGAGCATTTGTGAGTTGAATCTTTCCTCTGAGGTTGTATTTGAGAGACCAGATAAAATTGTCGTGTTTGGCCCACGGGCTGCAAGTTCTTCGGGCCTGCTTTGCAGATATATATGCAATTCAATCTGCACCTCTTGTGGCCTACGTTTTGAACAGGAGGTTGTCGCTAAAATGAATATGCAGGGTCTACTTGAAAGTACAAACATAGCATTTGAACGGCATGAAAAATTCGGCTGTCAGTGAAGTATTCATTTCACAATATGTTTATTATTGTGGTTGTAGAGGTCAGTAACTGTAGTGTTTCTCTCATAGAGCTAAATAAGGAACCAGAAACCCCAAAAGTATGTCAAGTCCAGTGCAGCTCTGCACCAATGAAAACTACAAGGCCACTATTTGAAAGCAAATCCTGTCAAATGATCACCTCATACTTGCATTCATTTTCTTCCATGATTATGCTCACTTACTAGTGAGCTGTCGCCAATCCCAGTTAACTTTGGTAGATTTATTATTTTTCTTAAATTGGAATATTTAATCCATTCGATTGAACTGCACATCGAGGCCTATGTGCAGTCATCACATTTGGGAAGTCACTTATTTTTGCCCCGTTTGTGCCAGAGTGAAAATTGTTAATGAGCCGGTTTCTTTAACAAAAAAAACATATTAATATTCTTTGGCAGAAGAATCATGACAGAATTCCGTCTCTTCCAATGTGCAATAACAGCGACTTGAGAGGAAAACCTCGATAACGAGCTGGGAATGTGGATGCTGTAGTGCTGCTAAGTAACATACTTTCCGCTTTTTCTCTTGGAGCCAGAAACGTATTATTCGTGATTTCTCGATACACAAATGCAGTCAACTTTTTTTTATTCTTCCCAACTGATGAGCATGAGTCCAGTGTGCATTTTCCCCACGCTTTGTTTGTTTCAGCAGACCGCTACCACTGTCTTCTTAGCTGAGGCCTAACATGTACATATGTAGCTCACGTCAATATCCTAACATTGATTGGCGGCTGCGATGGCCAATTGTTGGTGTCGTCTATATGGAGGTCAGTGTCGTGCACGTTCGATTGAACCCTTTCACGCGTCGCTGCAGTCATCAGTGGACCCCTTGCTTTGTCTTAATGATGTCTGGATTCAAGCCACAAATAAAACTCACGGCACTTTTATTTATAGCTACTGATCCCTGGGAAATCCATGAAACCGGAGGATCACTTTTGCCAGCTTCTTCCCCCTATCAGGGTTGTCTCACCTGCCTGCACCAACCAGACTTATAAAAAATAAAATAAAATAAAACATATTTTGTCACTAATGTTGTACGGTTGTCGAAAGCAGTTTTGTCTCTTTCATTTGCAATAAAACACGTTGAAAACGACTGCGTTGTTTTCTCAGAAGAAGCGTTCCGCTCGATGTGGGATTGCGTAAGAGGCGATCAATGTGCTTGGCTCACAGATGAATGTGCATTATGACACATCGGGTCTGCAAATTTCGTTAATTTCCATGCCTGCCCTGAGACGTAGGCAGGGGCCCTATCGATCCAGATTTGATTTAGTTCTACATATAGGAGCTTCGTTCCGCCGCTGGGCTTTTTCCACATTAGCCAATGAAAGTGCAACACAGCTCAGCTCAGAGTCTAAATACTCACTGCCGTCCCGTTTTGTGTACATAAACAGCATTTTACATGAATGCTGGATGAGTTATGCAATTACATTTGCCGTACAAGCTGCTCAGTCCGACCAAGTTTTGCATTGACAGGGGCAGCATGAAGCTGCTTTAACATTTCATCGATCTACTCATGATAAACATGCCGAACAAATTTAAAAACTTGATGAAAAGGATGCAGAAAATTCTTCACAATTCAGCGCTGCCGACAGTTCAAGTCCGAGTTCCGCAAACAGCGCAATAAACCAATCTGAAAGCATGTTTGTTTCAATGCAGTGACGTATTTACGAGTGAGTGGTTCGTCAAGAGAGCTCAGAGTCACCTGTTTTATCTCATTGACTGTCATTTTTACATACTTAAATTTAGCAAGTGTTAAAATCACTCGACGAATTTATTGCCCTGGAGGAAGTGCCTGTCGTGTTGTCTGGAAAAACTCTTCTTACTCTCTTATGTCAGAAAAATCCACTGGCTTGGATTTAACAGGCACCTCAGAGTGCAAGTTTGAATAGGATTCGGTGATGCACGCTTCGGGTCATAAGCACAAAGCTGTGTATCATTATTAGCATCGTTGCCAAATCATTTCAGCATTTTTGAAAAAAAAAAACAAATAAGAGGGAGGTCGGGGGGTGGGGGTGTGACCCAATTGTTTCAATTCAGCCTTTGTGGGTTACCGCTACTGGGAATCTGCACAGACATTGGGGGAATTTTTTTTTGAGATACCACATTGCAATTATGTTTCATTGATATTATAACTATCAAAGTACCGTAAGTGCAACATGACATGGATAATTCAGGCTATTTCGCTCACCATAGCGTTGATTAAATGATGAAAAAAACATTTAGAGACAAAGCAGCAATATGAAACAAATTGAGCAGTTAATATTTCTAATAGTACAGTAGCTTCCACTGGGAGAAAAATATTAAAAATAAATAATAAAAATGTCATTTTTGTTGCCATAGAAAGGTAAAAATCACATACAGTGTTCTACTGTATGTGTTTGCGGACATATAGACCTGTGTGTGTATATTAACAGCGCATCTACACAAATATAAACACATACATATAATACAAATGAATAATGATGACAGATTTTCCCCAAAATCTTTAAAAGATATGCATATGCAAATACTGTACACACACACACACACACACACACACACATATATATATATATATACATACACACACACATACTGTATAGGGATATATATTTACAATACAAATGTCAAAATAATGTAATGTAATGTAAAAAAAATAAAGTAATGCAGACCGTAAGACTTTCACTTCAGTATTTTCTTTCGAGCTTTTTTCCCCCTATTGTTATATTCATAATGATGCGATATTAAAAAGCAAAGTGTTATAATAAAGAATTAAATATGCATCTCTGCATATATAAACTGTGCTAAATATATAAAGCACAGTTGTTCCTTATTCTTTGTGCTTGAAGAATCAGAGATAAACTTTGCATAGATCAAAGCCTTCATCACAATGGTTTCCAGTCACCAGATGTCGGATTTTCGAGAATGCAGATTTGACAGTAAAGTATGGCCTGTAGTAGCATTGACGTTCACAAATGTAATCATCTCGACACAAAGATAAACGGCTTTGACAAGTGTGGAAGTGGAATAAGTGTTGAGACATTCGGGCCCAGTACAAGTCTGAAACACGTACTTTGATAACTGCATTTGTCGGGAATTGTCAACTGGAAGGCTAGGCAATGTATCAGGAGGGTTTAGGCCGAAAGGCAGAAAAAGCTGCATGGAAAGGTGAAAAAAAAGACATTTTGGTCACCTGATCCATTCGCGTGTTGAAATTTAATCTATGTCACTTGTAAAAATACAGTTGCCGTTGGTCATAGAAAAGCTGGCCACCGCTTAAAAAAAAGAAAAAAGAAAAGAAAAAAGAAAGTAACCCTTAAGGCTTGGCTCTTCTGAAAGTGGGTGACATCACAGTCTAGCTGTGTCCATTTTTTTGTAACACTCTCCACAGTACAGTAATTACATAATTGTGATGATGCCACAATTGAGTAAAGATTTACAGACAGTACAGTAATGTTTGCTGACACGCTATCCCGTTAGCGTGTTAGCTTTGTACCTTGCGGATGCTAAAGGCTGCAAGCAAAAATAATTTTTTATAAAACACTGGATTACAAAAAAGATGTGTCTCGCGAGCCATCTAACTTGTTAGCTGATGATGCCGAGGTGTCTTGCTCGTGAAATGATTCACTATCTAGCTAGCCGGTTAGCTTCAGATGCAACCCAATTCCAACGAAGTTAGGATAATAATATTGATATAAATAAAATAGAATACAGTGATGTGCAAATCACGGTGAACCTATATCGAATACACTACAAAGACAAGATATTTAAGCTCCTTTTGCAGCCAATGAAGGCTGTTTGATGTTCCAAACAGGTGTTTGATGAGCATTCCTCAACTTTGAATGAAGTTACTCGCAACAGATTTTAAACCTATATATCTCGCTTTCTCGCTGATGATGCTAAAGCGAGCTGACCTTCTCGTTCGGAATGTCATTTTAAATCTGTTTATCTATTTTTACAGCTTGTTAGTTTGTTGGCATCTGATTCGAAATGTAGCTGAGGTATTTTGTTTGCGGAAATATTCACAGAAATGCTAGCTGACCTTTAAAAAAAAAAAAAATCCATCTTTGTCGTTACCTGATGGGCTTTCAGTGGTTTCTTGCTCGATAATAAATGGTATTTTAATCAATTTTGTCAGCTCTTATCACTTGTTGATGTTGCAGCTATCGGAAGTTTGACAACAATGCAATGTTTGTTTGAAAGCCGATGGTCAATAATGAGAAAATAACATTAAATTAACACAGTTGTTACTTTTAATTATTTCTCTTATTTCCTGTAGCTATTATTGACGCCATGTTTGAACAAAAGGTGACTTATTGTGTTCTTTCCCAAATGTTTGACTTCCTGCTTTACGAAATGTATCACGTTTGCTTGTTTGCCACTATTTACATCTAATTATAGTTTTTGAACTATGATAACCTTAAGAGGGAACGCGCGCGCACACACACACACACACACACACACACACACACACACACACACACACGCACACACACACACACACACACACACACACACACACACACACACCTGCTGACATTCATTTTGGCTCCATTTTTGACAGCTGAGTGCCCTGCGACTCTCAGGGGAGGAAAAGCAGAATCAAGCAGGTACAATATGTTGGACACTCTTCTGGCTCTTTCCATGACTTCATTTGCCTGTTGAAAGACTTCCATGGGTGTGTATGTCTGTTCTCATTGAAATAAATAGATCACAGCATCTTGTATTTCTTATTGTGACCTGCATTCATAACACGAGCATTTCCAGATTGGCTCATGCCGCAATGCTTTCAACGACGCTCCCTCCCTTCATCCACCTGCTTCCAACAATGTGTCAGTCCCTTGGGAGAGATGTGGTTACCACACCAAATTAAAAAAAAAAAAACAAAAAAAACAAAAAACAAAAACGACAACAATATCTGGGCAATCAGCAACTACACTTTGCATAACCTCTGCGGGTTCCAATTGTAACAGTGACAAGAGGAGAGATAAGATAAGATAAGAAAACCTTTAATTGTGTCACAAGGGAGAAATTCGCAAGGAGTTTGACGAAAATACATTGCAGAGAGTGAATAACCGTAACAATCCGATCACTGAACTCTACCCCAGCTTTACGCAAACCCTGACCCAAGATCAACTGGAGCCCTAACCACAACCCCAACAGAACCCCAATTCCGAAACCCAACCGGAATTTTTACCCAAAGCTTAAATCAGGGGTGTGAAACATACGGCCCACGGGCTGAAACCGGCCCCCAAGGAGGTTCGATCAGGCCTGCAGGACAATTTAAAAGTGAAAAAATACATAAACGACATGGAATGAATATTTTTAATAAGCTGCAATTCATGGATCATCCGCTAGGGGGAACACTGTTTTGATCAGCGTAAAAGACAAAATTGTTTTGATCAGAAAAGAAGATAACAGCAGTCTCAGTCTGTCACTGAGACAGACAGCTACATAATTGCTAGCGAAATAGCATTAGCATCAAAGCTGTATTCCGACAGTGACTTTGTTAAATGATGCATGATGAAGTCGGCTGAACTTGTATGTCCCGAGAAGCGACAAGCTTTTGCCAATATTAGCCTGACCAGGAATACAATACCAGAGAGGATTTCGGACCTATCAGCAGATTTAGACACCCAATTGAAACAGAGAGTCAAGTCATTTTGTCAAATGTTTTGTAAAAGATATGTTCATTAAATTTCAACATTTTCCTAATGTTCTTGTGCTTCTTTCTACCAAAACAAAGGAAAGACATGATATACTGATTATTTATCGCAGAGTATGGTATAATTTTAATGGTCCGGCCCACTTGACATCTACCGAGGCCGTATGCGGCCCACAATGTGAAATGAGTTTGACACCCCTGGCCTAAATCAACACTACCCCAACCCAAAACCTAACCCAGTCCTGTCCTTTAACTCCACCACAACCTGAAATTTTACCCTAAATTTGCTTATTTAACCTCAATCCCCTCAAATTTTTGCACCATTCCATAGTAAAGGGGCTTTGCCTCGTCATGCCATGAGGGAATCGTTAATTTAGCAACAGCCAGGCGAAATTGGAGCACAACAAAGCCTCCTTCGCATTTTAGATTGAATGAGATTAGCGGATCCA